CCCTTAACTGAAATTTCCACATTTTTCACACTAAGGGGGCCTGGAAAAGTCTGGAAACTTCAGTTGAGAATGTGTAGGACGCACTGAGAAAGTCCCCGGTGAAAAACGCGACGATTTTCAAAAACTACCCTTAGGGTGGGGGTGACCACCCCTGTGACACTTACGCCCCTCACAAGGGGACTTAGGCAAGTGTAAATTCCCGATCGTGCCCAAACTCGGTATATTTGCTTCTTATCTACGTAGATGACGAATGCCGACCAAATTTTTTCCTGAGAGTCATGTGCCGAAACTCCCTATAAAAGCGTGTAATTTCACAAAATACAAATTTCTACTTTTGTCCAAATATTAAGTGATAATCTGACTCAAAATGAGCGGTTTTGGGGGGGTAGTTCCTCTGACACTTTTCGTTTTGAGACCTCCTTCCGTCATTTTTGGCCCAAATTCAATATTTTTTCCATTATTTCCTCCCCTAAAGTACCCAAGAAATTGACTCTCAGGAAAAAATACTACCGTCAGTCGTCATCAACATAGATAAGAAACAAATATACCGAGTTTGGGCAAGATCGGGAATTTACACTTGCCTAAGCCCCCTTGTCAGGGGGTAGTGGTGGCAAATCTGCTTTACAGCAGCTTAGGGGATCATGAAATGCACCTGTGATCAAAATTGGAACGTGGTAGGACTTTTCGTTTTCGCGCAGCAGCCAAAAATGTGTGAATTTGCTCAAAACCATCCCCTAAGTTTACGCCCCTGTAGCGACAAAGTGGGGTGGAATCCGACGGTCGCCACCACGGTCACAGAAGGGCATAACCTTCATCTTTTCGGGTACCAAGGGCCAAGCCGCTGGCAACACTCATTCAGGCCGCCGGGCCTGTTAAAAGAGGGTACTGCTTTGCACCGCGCCCGGGCAAGTGGCTGACGAGCACGCACACGGACTTGTCAAACTGGTTTCCCATCCGAAATTCCTCGACTTTTGTACAAATTTAATGGATTATTGACGAGTCCAACAATCTTCTCGTCAAAATTTGCAGGATAGGCAACGAATTTCGGATGGGAAACCAGTTTGACAAGTACGTGTGCGTGCTCGTCAGCCACTGGCCCGGGCGCGGTGCAAAGCAGTACCTTCTTTTAACAGGCCCGGCGGCCTGAATGAGTGTTGCCAGCGGCTTGGCCCTCGGTACCCGAAAAGATGAAGGTTATGCCCTTCTGTGACCGTGGTGGCGACCGTCGGATTCCACCCCGCTTTGTCGCTACAGGGGCGTAAACTTAGGGGATGGTTTTGAGCAAATTCGCACATTTTTGGCTGCTGCGCGAAAACGAAAAGTCCTACCGCGTTC